CGGTGTCCCCAAAGCCCTGCGGTGTCCCCAAAGCCCTGCGTCCTTGCATCGCCATGGCCGTGTGTCTCCATGACCCCATAGTCCCCGTGTCCCCATAGCCATGTGTCCCTATAGCTGTGTGTCCCCACAGCTCTTTGTCCTGTGTCTCCGTAGCTGCGTGTCCCCATGACCCTGTGTCCCATGGCCCTGTGGCCCCAGTGTCCCCATACCCATGTGTCTCCATGGTCCAGTGTCCTACTGCCCCGTGTCCCGTGTGCCCAGAGGTCTGTGCCCCATGTCCCCATGCCGCTGTGTTCCCAGGGCCTCACGACCATGTGTACCTGCACCCCAATAGCTCTGTGTCCTCCTGGCCCTGTGTCCCATGTCCCCATAACCTTGTGTCCCCGTAGCTGCATGTCCCTGTGTCCCCATGGCCCTGTGACCCTGCATCCCCATAGCTGTGTGTCCCCATGACCCCGTGTCCCCATGGCCCCATAGCCTTGTGTCTCCTGAGCCCTCTGTCCCCATGACCCTGTGTCCTGCATCCCCATGGTGCTGTGTCCACTGTCCCTATGTCCCCACATCCCTGTGTCCCCCTGGTCCTCTGCCTTGTAGCCTGTGTCCCCTGGCCTGTATCCCCCTGGCCCAGTGCCCTGTGTCCCATGTCCCCTCCTCAGATGGCCTTGCCCACCACAGCACACTCACCCCAGTCCCAAAACCACACACTGTCCAGCTGTCCCCACCGCTGCTGGCTCGTGTCACGGGGACAAGGGTGTCACACTGAGCTTAGAGGTCCAGGATGACCGAGCCACCACCCTGGGGACATCAGCCACCCCAGGGACATCGATGCTGGGGACAGAGCAGGGGGGGACACCAGACAATGGCGATGGGGTATAAATATTGGCTAAATAGATTTATTTTCATACAAAGAATACACAGATGTCGCCCCCCCCAGGATGCCCCGACCCTGGGGGACACCCCAAGATGTTCCCAGCCACTGCCCTGACAGGCACCATTGGCTTTACCATCAGGATCTGTCCCCATTCCCAGGGTTTGGTGTCACCTCGGGAACATCCCTGTCCCATCCCGGGGCCACCTCAGTGTCCACGTCTGTCTGGTACCCCCAGACCTGGTTCCTCGCTCCCTTGTGCCCATCCTGGGGGCATCTCTGGACATTTTGGGGTTCCCCCCGTGCCCTAATACTGTGGCTGGTACAGACTCCCCTGCCTCCCCCCC